TAACACTCTTGAGGGGTAACAAACAGTCGGTAGAAATCTTGGGTGATTCTTGGATTACCCTAGTCTTTCTAGATTCCGACTCAGCATACCCGCCCTTGGGGGCCGTGCCTGGATCCCATTGGTTCCCGGTATGGTGAGTTCTGCTCATTTTGCGATCGTCAGCATTTCCCACTGTCATGCAGTCGGCCTGCCGACTAAGCACTCTACTGCTAAGTTCCTTAGTTCTGTTTTATAATCATTTGAATAAAGAGCATTTAGCTCCGTAAACTTTACTCCGGCTATCGCCGTCTTATTATTTGCATTCGCCCACTGATCTTATGGCCAGGGGTATAGGGCGGCAGTCACCCTCTCGACATAAACTTTATTTTACACTTCATCAAACACCCTACCGGTGGCACACCATCAGCGGGACCAGCAGCCCGGCCGCCAACTCTCACCTATCTTGAACCTACTCATCAAGTACCCTACCGGCACCTACCACCTCATCATCAGCCGGATCTGGAACAGCCTTACCACCGGGCAACCTACTACAGGATATCTTGCACAGTGCACAGGAGCAGGCTAGGCGCCGGTTATAACTGCGACGGCAACCATTTCCTGCGTCGTTGATCAACGTTTAGACTGCAACCAGAGGAAGGAAATATAAGCAGGGGTAAATTATGTATTAGTTGTCTAAGTAAGGCGCATGCCCTTTCGCGCTGCACGAGTAATAAAGGCTGTCAAGTTTGTGGGCAGCGTCATCACACATTGTTGCATTTCCCTGATTTGGCTCATAGCCAGTCGCCGAGCGGTGTGCCGCCGCATCCGGTCCGGATTGTGGCGCAGACTCCTACTGCACCTGCAGATAGGGAGAGCGTATCTCAACAGCGCAGGCAGCCAACGACAGACCAGAACCTCGGCACATCTTACTGATGCTATTCAGCAATGTCATCGGATCTGTCTTCGAGAAATGTCTTTCTCGCCACTGTTTGTATCACCGTGCGGAACCCGGTGAACGGACTGCACGCTGCATAAACGCCCTGGTCGTCCAAGGATCGGAGGCAACCGCTGTCTCGGAGCAAGTGGTACACTCCTTGCATCTGAAGCGATCTAGGACCCTAACATCTATTTTTGGGATGGGTCATGGGGACGGTCGGTGGAAGTATACTGTCAAATTTGAAATCCATAGTAATGTTAACCCTGACTTTTCAGTAGACGTTGATTCCGCGTATGTCCTCAATTCGTCTTCCAGGTTGCAGCTTCATGCCTCAGAGTTGGGACCATACACGAGGGCTTCCTCTGGAGGTTCCGATTGTCACAATTCGTAATGCCAAACACCAGGATCGGGCTGCCGGCGAGCCTATAGCTCAGAACACTCACCTTGGGTTTTTTTTGTTAGTGGTGGTTTTAAGCCTCGAAAGCCAACTCGGGGCTGGGTTAGGTTTCCGAAGTCCAACCCAGTAAAAACTCCACCCCCTCCGCGCTTCCCCGGCGGTACTGCCGTTAGGTTTTACCTCGCCGGGGGGAATGCCCTTAGGGCTCTCTAGGATTCTATCCTATTGGAATTTCACAGTCTTTCTGCGATGCGCAGTTTTTTGAGTACTATTGTGGCCATGTTGCTTACAGCGGACCAATTTACATCAGATTCAAGCATAATTTTCACCAGGTTCCACCCTTATGCTCAGATCTAGACGTTCATTTTCAAATCTCGGACAGACGGCGTCGATGGTTGATAGCCCCTTTCGAAAGCCATACTGCATTTCGGAGAGGGCATTGGTTTCGGCAAGGGCACCCTCCAGCCGGGAGTGGATTATTTTTTCCAGAATTTTGCCCACCGTATCCAGCATACATAGCGGTATGTACGAGGAAGGTTCTTCCACCGGCTTGTCCCCCTTTGGTGTGAGTACCAACTGCTGTGTTTTCCAGCGTCTGGGGAACACACCTTCCGTTAGGCAAGCGTTAAACATATCAATGTACTCTTGTATTTGCCCTAATTGCAATTTTAAGGACTTTATTCGGGATTCCATCTGGTCCCGGTGCTTTGTCATCCAGTATTTTCTCTAGTACTCCGAGGACTTCTTCGGCACTTGTGGGCTTTATGCTCGCTATATTCACGGTAGGTGACGTTCGCGCCTTGCTCTCTTGCACAGGGAATAGTGTTTCCACTATCCTTTTTAGACTGGCTGGTCATGTCGGCGGTGGCCTGCTGTATACCCGAAGCCGTTTAGTGCCGAGTTTATATGCGAAGCCCCATGGGTTGGAGTCTATTTCATCACATGTTCTGTTAAAGCACCTACGATTGCTCTCTTTTATTTTTTCCCTGTAAATAATGTGTAGTGTTTCGAATTCGTGCCTTTCTATTGATCGTTGATAAGCACGTCTTGCCCTGTGGCATTCTTTCCTGACTTCCGCAATGTCTCGATTCCACCAGTATGCGGGTCTTCTGTTTGAAGGGTTTTTCCTCTTTTTCTGCATAGATGCGTCGCAGGCTAGCCTGGTGTAGTCTGGTATGTGGTTTGCCCTTTCTTAAGCCGATCCGCTTGTAGAGAGGTCCTCGAACAACATCTGTGCCATCTCTGCCTCTAGCTTTTCTATTTTGTACCCTGACACGGTTTTTGGATCTCGTGGTGGGCTATTTCTAGACTTTATCGTGCAGATAATTGCTGCATGGTCACTACCCATGTAGATGTCACTAACCTCCCAGCTGCAGCCCGGGGCCAATTCAGCGCTCACAAATGTGAGGTCAATGGTGGAATTGGTGCTGGCTCTGGAGAAGGTCGGTTTCGTTCCAGAGTTGTCCGGGGTGATCCCCACTCCGTGGCCCATGCATTAAAATCACCGGCAATTACGGTGGGATAATTTTCCCGGGCGTCTTCTGCAATTCCTGTATTGCTCGGTTATGAGTGCCATGTCTACGTTTTTTCGGTGACACTTTGCTCTAGCAACGACTGGGCAACTTCGCAGTGGTTTAGGTTTATCTGCAGGAACTTTATTTGCCCCTGAGCCCTTGCATAGCCTTCTTGAAGTACGGACATTTCCCACTCATTGTTGGGTGTTCGCAGTGTTTCTCCTTTTTGCGCTTACAGAGCATTCAGGAGGCCTTTGCTTTGTAGCCTCTGACTTGGTGCTCCTTTGCGCCGCAATTGTAGCAGCATTTTGCACATTCCTCCTGGTTCCTGCAGTTCCCTGCCATATGGTTAAACTCCATACAATTAAAACACCTTTTGGGTGTTATCTTTGGTCTGACCCTCCACCAGGTCCATCCTAGCCTGATTTTGTCCTTCTCCAGGAGCCGTCTTCCTACGTCAGGCATTGCTCTTAGTGTGGCGCTGTGGGTGCCACCGTACGCCACCCTTAATCCTACCACCGTGGATTCTGGCAGTTTCACATCAAACTGGGATTTAACCGCGCATAAGACGTCCGTCTTGTCGGTGATCTTGTCGATGTCTTTCACCTCGATCAGCATTGTCTCAGTCAGCGCTCTGACATCGACATTGCTACCCAGGACCGCTTTCATTGTGGTCTGGAGCTCGGCGGTTTTAGGGTCGGAGACATTGTTTAATAGGATTAATTGTTCCCCTTTAGCTGTGCGGCTGACGGCCTGTACTGCTTGTCCAAGCTCCTTCAGTTGAGGCTCTGTCCGAACTGTTTTCAGGATATCCGCATAGGACCCACCTGTGGAGGTTGCGATGACTATCGCATCGTTCCGTGGCGGTCGCACCTTGGGCTTCCGTGCCTTCTGTTCCACTTTTTCCAATCTTCTGGTTTCTTCACAGGTTTTTGGGGGGGGGTTTGGGGGTTTTTCCTCCTTGTGCATCGCCTTTTTTGCGGGAAGTTCTGTCGTTTTCCAGGTTTCTTGCCCTCTGGGTCTCTTGGCGCTCGCGAGTACTTCTGCACAGGTTTTTTCCACAGCCTTCTTGGCTTTTCCCTGCTCTACGATCATGCTTTGTTCCGCCGATAGACTTCTCTCTAAAGGTAGTCAATTTCATCGACTATCTCCCTCATTGGAAAGGTGATGGATCGCTTTCCGTCCATTAATTTTTTCCACTCCCTGGACTTCGATCCCAGGCTAGTCAGCTGTAGCAACACATCCCCTTGCTCCTCTTCCGCTTTTGGGCTGACTTTTCCTGCTGCTGGGGGGTACTAGGCTGCTTGCCACTGCCCTCCACCTTATGTTCCGGCGATCTTGCCATTACACTGCTTTTTTCCCTACCCGCAATATCCTGCTGGTCTTCGATCGGACTTTAATATATTAAAGAACTTTACTGAAAAAAAGAAAAGCGCGGTGAAAATTATGGCAGCAACTATGCCATCCAACGAGTCGAAAACAAGAAGAGGCAGAGATGCCTCCCCTCCCTCGCCTACGACCGGCCCCTGCCTGGTCGCCAAACCTGTTGGGGATTGATTTCCGGGCTGTCCCCAGGTGTCGTCCATGGTCTTCTGGCTACCAGCTAATGTCCATATGCGTATCCAGATACTCCACGCCGGATGGCCGGCTGCACTCTTGTTTTACTTGAGAACTTGTGTAAATAAGCGGAGCGATTTGAAAACGCGACCGCACTCAAAACTCTCTCCCGCTGTCGTGCGCCTGTGAGGCGGCTGGCGTATGCGTTTGTGAGGCGGCTGGTGTATGCGCCTGTGAGGCTGCTTCTGGGTGCGCCTGTAAGGCGCACGGTGGATGCGCCTGTGAGGCGGCTGGTGTATGCGCTAGTGCGGCGGCTGGTGTGTGCGCCTGTGAGGCCGCTGCTCGGTATGCGCCTGTGAAGCGGCTGGTGTGTGTGCCTGTGCGGCGGCTGGTATATGCGCCTGTGAGACGGCTGGAGTGTGCGCCTGTGAGGTGGCTTCTGGGTGCGCCTGTAAGGCGGCTGGTGGATGCGCCTGTGAGGCGGCTGGTGTATGCGCCTGTGAGGCTGCTGGTGTATGCGCCTGTGAGGCGGCTGGTGTATGCGCCTGTGAGGCTGCTTCTGGGTGCGCCTGTGAGGCGGCTGGTGGATGCGCCTGTGAGGCGGCTGGTGTATGCGCTAGTGCGGCGGCTGGTGTGTGCGCCTGTGAGGCCGCTGCTCGGTATGCGCCTGTGAAGCGGCTGGTGTGTGTGCCTGTGCGGCGGCTGGTATATGCGCCTGTGAGACGGCTGGAGTGTGCGCCTGTGAGGCGGCTTCTGGGTGCGCCTGTGAGGCGGCTTCTGGGTGCGCCTGTAAGGCGGCTGGTGGATGCGCCTGTGAGGCGGCTGGTGTATGCGTCTGTGAGGCGGATGGTGTATGCGCCTGTGAGGCGGCTGGTGTGTGCGCCCGTAAGGCGGCTTCTTGGGGCGCCTGTAAGGCGGCTGGTGGATGCGCCTGTGAAGCGGCTGGTGTATGCGTCTGTGAGGCGGCTGATGTGTGCGCCTGTGCCGCGGATGGTGTATGCGCCCGTGAGGCGGCTTCTGGATTCGCCTGTGTGGCGGCTGGTGTGTGCGCCTGTGAGGGCGTTGCTGGGAGCGCCTGTGAGGCGGCTTCTGGGTACGTCTGTGAGGCGGCTGGTATATGTGCCTGTGAGGCGGCTGGTGTGCGCCCGTGAGGCGGCTTCTGGGTGCGCCTTTGAGGCGGCTGATGTGTGCGCCTATGCGCGTTTGGTATATGCGCCTGTGAGGCGGCTGGAATGAGCGCCTGTAAGGCGGCTTCTGGGTGCCCCTGTGAGGCGGCTGGTGTATGCGCCTGTGAGGCGGCTTTTAGGTGCGCCTGTGAGGCGGCGTGTTCATCTCGTGTTGGTGTCGGTGAGCTGGTTCTCGCGAGTCGAGCCAAAATAGGTGGTTAAAGCTTGAAGGTCACCCACTGCAGTGTGGCTCCGCCGTAGCACAGGAAGTCCATGCCGAGCAGAAGGACATCCAGCACGTCTGGCATGATGAGAGCGGAGACGCTGACCCGAGCTTCCCCCAACTGTATTGTGGTTCGCAGGGCCTGTGTGAGCTCCGTCGGCTAACTTCACTTTTGTCCGCACGGCGCGGCAATTCCTTCCCCCGTCGAGTTCTTTTGCAGGCGTTTGCTTATAAAGCTGTGCGAGGCCCCCGTATCCAAGGTTGCGGTGAGGGGGCACCCTCAACCGTGACCTGTGCGCGGATACGGTTTCGATCGTGCTGGATGGAACGGCTGCGGGAGTTCGGTGGGTTCCTCAGGTGACTCCCTGATACCCGAGGCCCTTGCCTGTATCCCGGCGTCAGGTTCCTGCAACACTCGATAGTACCTATGCCCTGGCGACCGCAGTTCCAACAGAACATGATTCGCTGGTTCCGGCATTCCGTGTCGCAGTGACCAGTCTAGCCGCAGTTTTGGCAGGAGATGCTGGGGTCGATTGACTTGGTGGGCGTGGCTCCTTTGTTGGGATTTCCCCCGGCGTCTCGGCTGGTGGCCCGTTCCTAGGGTGTTTCACCTGGGTCGTGCTTTGGGATGGATACCCGACGTCTGGGCTTGCTGATGGGTATTCCCGGACGGTTCGGCCTCCGCGGCTGGCAACTTCGAAGTTGACCGCCACGTGCGTGAGCTCGGCCAGCGTCTTGAAATCCTGGCGGCGGGTGAACATCTGATATTCGGGCAATATGTTCTCGTAGATTCGTTACAATCCCTGCTCTGGTGAGAATCCAGCGCGGCGCATCTGAAGGCGAAGATCTACTAGGTACGGCTCGTTCACCTTTTGGAAGTGTGAGCGTATCTCGCCGTCGAGGCGTTGATAACACCGGGCCGGTAGGAAGAAGTGCAAGAATTCCCAACGATCTTCGGCCCAGGTCCGTCCCTGCAGATCACTGGTTCGGAACCAACTCTCCGCTCGGCCAGTCAGGAGGACGATAATAGCGTAGGACAGATACTCCCGGTCAACCCGGTAGGTATCCGCCCGTTCTTTGATGTGTTCCACGAAGCTGAGCGGATCTGAGGTGCCATCAAAGGACAGTCCCCATTTGGTCATTTTGTCAACCAACATCAAGCAGGTACCTGCATCGGACTGGGACCTACTGGCGCGTGCTGTGCCTTCCTATCTTCCTCGCGTCCCTGGGGACGGGGAAGTGTGCGTGGCTGGTGCTTGGCCCTTTTTCGTGGGAGGGCGGTAGCGGCAAAGGTGGCTTATTGTCTCCGGAGGGGGCGTTTCCGTACTTGCGTTCCATTTCTTCGAGCCGGATCAGGGTATCCTCGGAGTGTTCTGTTTGTCTGGCGAACGCGTACAGTCGGGCCCGCTGATCGTCAACCGTACCGTTTTGTTCTAGGCCAATTTCGAGAAGAATAGCCTGGAGTTCGTGCTTCTTCCTGTACGAAATCCAGGAGACTCCCATGTAATCGTCGGTGTGTGTCCTGGCTGTGTATCCTTGGTGGTCCTGGCTAGTGTGCAGGAGCGGTGACGTGTTGATTCCTGGGAGGATGTGTATCCTGTTGATTCCTGGGAGGATGTGTATTCTGTTGATTCCTGGGAGGATGTGTATCCTGTTGATTCCTGGAAGGATGTGTATCCTTGATAGTCCTGGCTAGAATGCAGGACCGGCGATGTGTTGATTCCTTGGAGGATGTGTATCCTTTGTGGTCCTGGCTAGAGAGCAGGAGAGTCCTGGTTGCTTGAGGTTGGTGATCGATGTTGTCCCTCGGGACTCTGGTGACGATTGTGTGTCGGGGGCGGCTTATATATCCCAGGTTCTGCCGGCATCGGGCATTCTACTCGGTAAGAAACCAGTTGTGCAAAAGGGATAGGGGAACTAGATATCTGTTGGCGTGGATGCCGGCTGCGGTGTCGACGTGGCTTAGGTTCTGCGGCTCTCTCTCTCTCCCCCTTGCTCTGTTTCTCTCGCGTTTACGTGCTAGAGTGCGTGTGTGTATTTTGACTCTGCGTGTGACTAAACTTGCTTGCCTTTATTTCGTGTCGTGTGCGACGACATTTCCTCGTGGTTACTCTATCTCTCTCTCTCTTGTTTTGCTTCACTCCGTTGCAAAAAAAACGTGCGTGCTCCCCTAGCTTTTTGTACGTAACCTCAAATTTTTACCTCATTTTTCCTGATGGTTCTTTTCGCCACGAAGAATGGAATTATCCTAGCATTTTCCTGCTTAGTCCTTGTTCGGGCGCCATCTGTAAGGATGCTAATCACGGGCCGGGATAAAGGCTTACGTCAGCGCAGGGTCCCCTACAGAAATATTTGTAAAGAACTGAGACAGACAGGAAGAGGATGCGAGATGGTGTGTGAGGTGGGCTTCGGAGAGGAGTCGGGCGGCCGATCCCGTCACCCGGGATTCGGTTGTCCGGCCCCGTCGACCGGGTGCAGGTGCCCAAACTAGGGGGAACGATATGAGCGGCCGATCCCGTAACCCGGGAATCGGTTTGTCCGGCCCCGTCAGCCGGGTGCCGGTGCTTCGAACTACGAGGGAGGATATGAGCGGCCGATCCCATCACCCGGGAATCTGTTGTCCGACTCCGTCAGCCGCGTGCTGCTGCTCCGAACTACGAAGGAAAAGGGCAACGGATAAGAGAAAGAGGGGAATACGGCTCCGTCATCCGGATACCGCTTGCCGACCGGGATTGGGGAGAATAATTCCGGAGTTTAGCATTTGCGTATTAATACAGTGGTTTTATTCACATGCCTTGCTTATGTTATAAACCTATCCCTACGATGTTCCCTACACTTCCGCACCGCCGGCCTCCCACGTTTTCGAGTTGGCCCATGGTGTTGTTTGATGGGATGTGTTTGAGGCGGTGTGGGCTCTGCCGGTATGATGGCTCTGGCGATAATAGTTTGGTTGATGTGTTCGAGGCGGTTTTGGCTCTGTGGGTATGATGGCTCTGCCGACAATAGTTTGGCGCTGTGTGACGTTGATGTGTTCGAGGCAGTGCTGGCTCTGCCGGTATGATGGCTCTGCCGATGATAGTTTGGCGCTATGTGATGTTGATGTGTTCGAGGCGGTGTTGGTGATGAAATCTATGCTTTAGCTATGTATGTAATTTATGTCCTAACTAACGTAAACCTTAATGCCCTACGTGGGTCTTAATTGGTGTACCTAAATCTAAGTGCCCTCCGTGGGTCCTAGCTGAAGTACCTAAATCTAATTGCCATCCGGGGGGCTTTTATTAATCCTTAATCTAACCTAAATCCAATGTTCTCGAAACAGAATTAAGCATTCTGAGACAAGGAAGAATGACAATTACTGAATTCTACAACGAAGTAAACAAAAAAATGACTTTGTTAATAAACAAAACCATAATGACTTAAAAATAACATAATTACAAAGGAGACTACAAAAACGATAAGAGGCAACGCCTTAAGAGTTTTATTTCAGAAACTCTATTTTCCTTAAACCCACCAGACTTACCAAATGCTTTAGCAAAGGTTCAGGAACTAGAGTCGAACCACTTTCGAGCTCAGCTCTCAAATAAATATTATGGATTTCAAAACGACACAAAAAAGCAGGGCAATTATCTAAGATTCAACAAGGTGCAACCCAAACAGAATTCCTATTTTAAAACGGGAAATAATTGGTATCAAAAAATAAATTATGAACAAAATATTTTCAAACAAAACCAAGCAAAAGAACAGAACGTAGAACCAATGAACGTCGATCCATCCGATCAAATTAAACCATTTAAAAAATGGCAGGGACATAATTGAAGACAGGAAAACTATTAAAATTCAAACAGAAATTACAGCCGACAATATTCAAACCGTCCGAATTATAAACTACAAAATAATTTCAAGACTAAACAAACCCATCCACCACTAAAACGCAAACCAACTAGCAAAAGAAAAAATTTAAAATATTATTTGATACAGGAGCAACATCCTTTTATATAAAAAAGGGGATATATTAAAAAAAAAAATGAACTTCCCATATACAAAAGAGTCTCCACTGTAAATGGATACTCAATAATAAAACATTACCCCATGATATCAATCTTCAATACAAAGCAAATATTTTACGAAATTGAAGGTTTAGACGCCGGTTTTTTAGTAGGATTTAACTTACTCAAAAAAATAGGCGCCGTGATCGACATAAATATGGGTGTCATAAAATATCACGGAAAGGAAGAGAAATTAGTTTTCCGACGTTGAATTATCCATCAACAATAAGTTGAGGGTTTCGACGTTGATTTATCAGTCAATAGTGAATTAAATAATATCCAGTTGGAATTTTCAAACCAAGTAGATAATATGAAAGAAAATATAATAACTCAAATTGAAACAAAACATTCTACGATCGATATCCAAATTCCATTTCGAACTGATATTAAGGGGGAAATCACTACACTACATGACAGACCAGTTTATAGCAAACAGTATCCCCACGCTCTGTCAGTCCCAGATTTTTTCTACACTACATGACAGACCAGTATATAGCAAACAGTATCCCTACGCTCTGTCATTCTCGGATTTTGTTAATAATGAAATAAGCCGAATGTTATCAGAACAAATAATAAGGCCCATACAACTCACCCGTCTTAGTGGTCCCAAAAAAGGACAAAATGAAGATGGAAGCCCTAAACTAAGATTAGTAATAGACTATAAGAAACTTAGTGAAAATACCGTTCAAGATAGATATCCGATGCAGGATCCATCTGTGATCTTAGCAAATTTAGGAAAGGCAAAAGTCTTTTTAACGATCGACCTAGAATCCGGTTTTCATCAAATCTTGATGAAAGACTCTGACATAGAAAAAACATAATTTTTCATAAACAATGGAAAGTACGAATTTTTGAGAATTCCATTTGGTTTAACGAATGCCACTAGAATTTTTCATAGAGCAATAGACGACATATTGAGGAAACAAGTTGGGAAAAGTTGTCACGTTTACATGGACGACATAATTATATTTTCCGACACAATTGATCAGCATTACCAAGACTTATTGAAAATTGTAAATATTTTGTTCAAAGCTAACAT